GCTCAAAATGTTTCAAAATGATTTGAATAAATGAATTTCTAAACTTAACAACACCATGTCAGAATCAAGAGCTGGTTGTGCATTCTCCCCTGTACAGCCTAACACTGTAAATAAAGCACTACTCTAATGGTAGTATTTTCTATAACAGGAGAAACTATTTTTTGTTTAAACTCTTGTTCATGATACCAACAATTTTCATAAAGAGCAGTCTTGCCTTGCTTTTCAATGGTTTTAATGATAGAAGCACTAACTCATTTTTGTAAGCTGTTCATGACTCCTTCTTTAGAGACATTCCACACAATAGACATTCATATTTTAAAGTAAAGCATTGCATTGCCGTATCTTAGAAGATTTTGACAGAACGAGTAAATGTTACATTATCAAAGGATTTTGACAGAATGCGTAAATATTATATTATCCTAACAGGAACAACAATAGCACCCAGAAATCACTTGCAGTAAAATTCAATTAATGGAGAAAACTGGAAGTAGAATTTAGACATACCATACCTCCCATCAAGTATCTAAGGATTAAGATATACAGAAATTGCACTGATTTTTTCCTTTTCCAGCAAATTTCAATTTTTATATGGAGATGCTGGCCATATCTCCTACATGTTCCACTCTACTTCATGAGTTGTCATGAGAACTCATGCTTCTGAGAATAAATGAAATATTGATATTAGCTACTAAATTATAACTCTGGGAGTGGTAACTATTGAAGTCCTACTTAGACCACAAGTCCACCTTTTAGAAAGCACAATGGAATTCTGAGGGAGTCTCTTCAAGTTTCCTTTTTTTATTATTTAGCCTATGACAATTTGGGCACTTCAATAACCATCCATATGAATACCACTTTGTGAAAAGGTTTACTGTGATCCAGAAGTCACTTACATCTTTTTGAAACAGCCACATTTTTCTGAGATAATTTTGTAATAGAAACAGAAAGCTAATGTGCAGTGAAAACCAGCTTTAATTTTGAGCCATCTATTATGCAACTCTTAACCTGAGAACAGAATGTCTGCTGAGTAAACAGAGTCCTCTCAAAAGAAAAATAATAATTTGTAGAAGAATTTTTCACCATTTAATTGAGAAAGAGCAAGTGCACCCATGAAAGCACATATGAGCATTCTTGCTTTGAAAGAAAAAGGAGAGAATAAATCCTATCTGGAGTAGGGAAAAAAGTTTCAAAAGACTCTTCAAAGAGTCTCTCAACTAATCCTGTGGGAGACTCAAGAAGAGGGAGATGAATCTGGGGAATAAAAAGGAGATCTTTAATTAAACTCCTCAAGCTCTGTGTATGCATATGTGTTTTACATATGTCTACTGCTAGAATTATTTGCTCACTCCTTGATGGGTGTTGCTGTATTGCACTGTTCAAGTTCCCTTCCAAAAGTAAGTTGAGACCCAAAAAATGCAATGGAGAAATAAACAAGAGAGAGAAAGACATTTGGTTGTAACATCTGCTGAGGTTCCAACCTCTAGGCAACCCATAAAGATTAGATTTATTGGAAGTCTGCCTTTGATAACACCCTCACACAAGTGACGATGCCAGAATTCATCTGCTAGCAGGGAGTGTAACCAACTAAGAACCAGAGAATATTAAAGCTGAGAATGTTCATACTGAAATGCTGCAATAGGCAAAATGTATGATACAAGATTCACTGACAGTGACAAAAAATAATTTTGGAAACATGCTTTCATGACCCTGTTAACCTTTGTGTATTCTGGCTGACCTGTAATCTCATTATGGATTGAAAGAATAACATAGTTTTAAAGTTTGCAGCATAAAATTATCTTCAAACCATTTTGTGTTGCATCAAGGAAAATAGTTTTTTGGTAGTTCTATAAATAAAAAGTGATGGTGAAACCTGAAGAGCACTAAGCAATAAATAGTAAATAATGTAGGAATAACCTAAAATGAAAATCCTTCATATTTCAGCAGTTTTGAATGCCGTAGTACCTTTTCAATGTTCCTTAGTTTTAACAGCAAGTCTCACAATCTTTTCTTTATGGGACATAATGTATTTTATATTTATAATATATAAATATAAATAAATATATAAAAAATATATCTAAAGTATATAAAAATATTTATGCATATATATGTATAGATAAGGAGGTACATATTAAAATGAAAGGACTGGAAAATGGTGCACATTTGAGAAACCTAGAGAGAAAGACTAGTATTTCATTGCAATTGGGAGAAATATAGTAATTAAGTAAAAACAGGTTGTGGAGGAAAGGCACTCTTACCTCAGGAGACAATCTGCCCTACTTTCTTTTCTCACATTTTGAAATCTATTAATCTTTTACTTGCTTTATCACTTTCCTGGTTCCCTGCAGGCCAGAGCTGACAGCTAAGCCTCTGTTTTATCATAAACTGTTCAAAGTATGTCAGAAAATTACTTACCCTGCTGAGCCTGAAAGTGGCAGGAACCCACCTACTGGTTGCCCCTAGACCAGGTGATCACTGTTGCTTGAGTGAAATTGTAATGATAGTCCCAGAACAGTTGGCAGATTGTTACAATATTATGATCTTTTACTGCTTCCAGTTGAAATCCAGAAACTGAGTGGACTTTTTTTTTTTTTAATTATTATTGTCTGTAGAGGTAATTATTTGTGTGTCGAGCCACTCTGATATCAGTACAAAAAGATAGCTTTTCACCCTGTGTTATTACCAGCTCTTTTGTATATGAACAGGGTCAAGTAGTTGCACTGCCTGTAACTGTCAGCTCTGTTCATTCTGTCGGCTCTCTTCGCTGTCTTTGAATACAACCTTTAAAAATCCTTTCTATTTTAATACCATTGCACTTGAAGAATTAGTGTTTAAAATACACTGTTGTCACTACACTTAGGCATGATAAAATGCAAGGATAAGGTGAGTGTGGTCATATTCATTTCTCCAAAAATAGGATTCCACTGGAATTTCTACAGTTATTTCATTTTAGTAGGCGCTAACTTGTGATAAAAAATTTATGTACCTCAAACCTGATCACCTCTGTGATCAAGCAAAATGAAGCAGAATGGGAATTGCAGACTATTTATGTTCAGCCTGTATCATGAAATAATATGCTCATGTACTGCATTTCATCTTCAAATTCTACTATCTGTATTGTCATCTGAAATAGCATATAAGTAAGTGGTATATGAGATTGTGAGGTTAAAATTAATCTGAATGCAGATGGACCTGCATTTTGCAATTCTCAGGAGGAAGTTATAACACCATTCTTCACTGCTTTCACCTCTTGTGAGATAATTGTTTCTTTTTTGATAACTAAGGGGAAAAGTACCACTAATGCTAGGCACAGCTCCTTTTATTGAGACAGGTTATCTTTGGATTTTGTGCTGGTGAGAATATTTGCAGGGAATTCGTTGTTGATGTCCTGTTAACTAACAACAACCAAGTTCGAAGGTAAAAGTTAGAGGACTTGTGAATCCATGAAGGTCTGTAAAACTAACCCAGAATGAGTTTTTCAATTCTTCCCACTATTCTGAGTTAAGAGGTAGGATGTTTATTACCTTTAGTTCTGCACATCAGAAATGTCCTGCTTATTTGTGCAGAGTGGAACATTTCCCAAAGTCTCTCAAAAAATATCAGGGATGTCATTTTGGGTCTTTGTTTACCATATTAGCTTACCATAAAGCCTTCAACCCTAGTCTTGTTAAGGAAGCATTCTCTGCAACAATATCAGTGGTTTTATTTTTCTTAAAATTTGATTATGTTGTTGGTACCCTTTGACTCATTATACTGTGCAAACAAAAGAAATGGTCTCCTCTCCAGTTTATGCTGGTAGATCATGCAACAGTAGAGGTGCACTACCTTGAAATGTGTACCTTGAAAAAGGAAATAAATGTCAGTTATATGGTCTTTTTCAACTATTTTAGGTGCATAGGAACTTAACATGAATTGTGTTATTTGTTGTAATATCTTTCTTTGCTCCTATTTTGCTCACTCTTGGCCAGTTTAAATGCCAGCTCATTTCTGATTTTTGGGAATTTGTGAGTCCCATGAATCCTTATCATGATGTTGTTGTAGGCTTTAGGGTATATAAGGATACTGGGACTGAAAAGACACTGGGTAAAAAGCACTACTTCCTCCTAACTAAATAGACATTGCATTGCAGAAATTATAATCTGAAGACATGTTTCAGAGGTGTGGTAAGAAACTTGGACAGAATTGCCTTTGATATGGAGGTTGTGTATACACCACTGTTCAGTTATTTATGTTGGTTAAGTAACTTTATCACATATTGTTAAAACATTAAAAAACACAGAAAGGCAGTTGAGTCATTTTTGTGTCCTTCACAAAAACACTGTTCATAGAAGTAGTTCCAAAGTACAGTGGTCACTGATTATTGCATAGTGGTGGGCCTTGGGTTGTGCTGAGGGCCATCATCTGAAAGGACTCAGCACCTCCTGAGAGATCTGCTGCAGGATAGCATCAACGATATTTTGGATGATTTCTCAAATAGTACAATATGGTTGCTAACAGTGAATAGGGGAAGAGAAACAGATTTTCCAAATGCAAACTACACAATGTGAAAGCTTGGGGTATCTAGGCACACATTTTTTCAGTCACAGGTTTGTCAGTCTCTGTCTTCTCCACTATTAAAAAAGGGACCAATAATATCTTTACTTTACAAAGGCATTGGAAAACAATTTCAGTTTTCAGGGTATATTTGAACAAATTTTGATGACATTGCTCTCTCTATTAGATGGACAGATCTGCCAATGGGCTGATGAAAGAAATTATGATGAATCAAGATGACAAGCTAGAAGAAATTAACTCCAGCAGATGCAAAATTCTGTATTATGCAATATTGCTTGTCCAGATTTGTGGTAGCTGATGTAATTGTTTCACTGCAGGAAGGCATATCAGTGATGTGGCTAGCAAGGCACAGTTTTCAGCGAGTATTTTAATGTATGTTTGCTAAGCAGAAATGTGAAATAAAAATCTGTATTTTAAAATATTCATATATTTTTCTTTCTTTCTTACAGCTTGTGGCCAATGCAATCCTTTTTGTCAGTGTAAATTTGTATGGGGTCTTTGTGAGGATTTTGACAGAAAGGGCTCAGAGGAAGGCATTCCTTCAGGCCAGGAACTGCATTGAGGACAGGCTGAGACTGGAGGATGAAAATGAAAAACAGGTCAGTTTCTAAGCCTTATTTATTTTTCTCTGTTTCTCCCGATGACTGTAGTTATGTGAACCACAGGTTAGGACATTGTTGCCAAATGCATGCTAGGGCATGTGTGCATTTCCATTGCACAGGAAGTGCTGTCTTCCCCCATCTGCTTCAGGTCTTCTTCCCCAGAGGATGCACACTCTTCACTCTTCATCTGCAGAGCTCAGAGAAGGTACAGGCTGACTCCACAGCTACTGTCAGCTCCACTGCCAGAGGGGATCTATTTTAGGTCTGAGTCAAAGCCAACGTACTTTTGTAATATAAGAGTGTGGTTATTTATCTGTATGGATGTTTTTGGGTGGGGGTTCGATGCACTGTAAATACTTTTCTTCTCGCTGAGTATTCTATAACCTGTTTGCCTTCATGACACTGATAAAAAAAAGTCAACATTTTGGGCACAAGGACCTGCACTGCTAACTGAATAAATATAATTGATTACAAGAATGAATATATTATATTTTTGTACAACTAATAATAACTGTAATAGCAATAGCAATGTATTTCTTCTCAAAAATCACCTCAGTTATGTGATAGTTTATTTCATACAATTTTATCAGTCAGCCTTCCAAGCATATTTGGAAACAATAGACAAAGAAAATGCTTTATTGTGGATCTTGCTGTTGTTACTCACAAATCTTGATGCCATTTGGGTTTCCCTTTTGTTTCCCTCTATATGTTCTCAGTATTCTTCACACATATATTTGTAACTCTGTCACCTATTGTATTAGTAGCTAGTTTTCCTGGTACTTTTCCATGGTCTTTCCCTAAGAAAGAAGAAAGACAAAACAAATGCCAGAGCTCCAAACCCTGGGGGATACAAGGCTTCATGCTATCTTGGTTGTTTCTGGGAACCAAGACTCAGAACAACTCTTTGAGATACATTTCATGGACAAAGTACAACTAGTGCTGAAGGGGGGCTCCAGAGAAGGGGCTTGAACTCGGGAGGGAATTGCATCACCACTTGTCCTCATAATTGGTGTTTTTTATCAATTATGCTAATTTTCTGAACCTATAAAAATGTACTTACCCCTGGGGAGGGATGAGCTTTTGTGGACATCTTTCCAAAACTGCCTTTGAAGGCCTTCAAATAAAGTTCTGCTTTTATATTACCTCCTTACTAAAATTATCTCAAGTTTCATTTCCAGGTTGGGAAAAAGAACAACAATCTTTGTCTTTTATAGATTAAACCTGTCATAGCTTATACCTGCTATTATCTGTTGGTGTGTAAGGTTTGGACTAGCTTTTTCTTTCTGTATAGGTGATAAAAGAGAGTGACACTGGAATACCTTTGTGGCATGGTGGTTACTTACACCAAACAAGATGGCAGGGTCCTCAAAGCCTCTGTACCTCACACAATTTTACTGCCCCTCATTTGCAATCTCTTTAGCAAGTCTGTTTCTACATGTGGAGTAACACAGGTCCATAAGTACTTTCTGTTATGAGTTAAGTGAATTTGTGAGCTGAACATACTCTGTAATAAATAGACATCTCTTTGAACACTGCATGTCTTTGCTGGCTGTGTAAAAATGGCATTAGGATCAAAGCCTTTAGATTTAATTCTGGTCTTTTGTAATCCAAAGCTGCAGATTTTTTAAAGGCATAAATGTATCATGAGTGAATTTCCATGGGATTTAAACAAGCCTGCCATTTCTGTCTTTGAAAACCTAATTATGGGATCCAGCATGAAAACAAAATTGATTTTTTGTGTTTCTCTTGTTAACACATTAGCAATCTGTCTTATATATTATCCATTCATATAGAAACACAACAAAAGCAATAACATTACACATAAATGCCATTATTGTTGATAGTATACCTAGATAATCCTGCAGATGTTTTTCCAATGCAGTGAAAAGGTCAGGGAAGAGAATAAACTTTTCTCTTACACTTGTGAAATTAATTTTATGCATTACAGTGTAAAACTCAGTGCAGTTGTGAAATATGCTAATTAGCTGTCACAAGTACCACCAAAATACGTTATGTGGCTGTTCTCACACTATATTAACATAGCTCTAGAACCAGAGTGAGAATTAAAGCACGATTACAGGCTACAAAATTATTCTGCAATTGTTGTGGCATAACATACTCTGAGTTTCCAGCTGGCAGCACTCAAGAGTGTTTTGAGAGAAGAAATGCTGCTGACCTAGTTCAATTTTTGTGATCAGTCCTGTAATTTTGTTCTCTGAAGTATCAACATTACATGTTAAAAAGGACTGAATGTTTTCATCAGGCTTTCTTGTCTCATCCAAATGCTCTGCCCTAGAAAACATAGCCCTTTAACACTAAGAATTGTAACCCAAAATGGTAAAATTATTCCCTGATATTTCTGTGCAAGTCTCTTAATGGAAAGGAAAGAACATGGTCTTGACTTTTGAACAGACACAGCTTTCTGGAGTTAAAGTATTGACTGTGTGAAACAGACACCACAGATGAAACTGTAAGTGAGATTTCTTCCTCTGTGTCCTACTTACAGTGAATTCTCCTCATGGGATGTATTTGTAGTAATAGCCCCACAGGATAATTTTGATAAAACTATTTTTGTGAGCAAGAGCAAATATCTTGTGTTGGCGCATATTTTTGGATTCATGCAAACAGCCTTGGAAGTGTTGCTGGGGAGAAAGGGAGCAGACAGATTCTGTTTATTTTAAAATTCAGTGTAATGCTCACCCTGTTATCTATTATCTGTGGTCACAATTAATAACTAGCCTTCATGGCAGCATCATCCATTTGTTGCATTGCTGAATGTTAGATTGCAATTCCACCAGAAGCGAAGGCCAAGAACCAAGTTTTAGATAATGAGCAAATAGTTAGTTACAATCATCCACTTGGGATAAGCTTTTTCTCTTGTTATCTATAAATCTCAGCAGCAAGCTATCCTCTGCAGGGCAAACAGCTAAGAATAATTATTGTGAAGTGGGTCCCTTTCCCTGGAATTCTGTTTTTTCTGTTCATGCTCTTGCATGTGAGCACTTCCCCTCACTCCCACTGCACCATCTCTCTGTGTCCATTTCCTTAATTCCAGATAATCCTTTTCCCATACAGCAAAAAACAGCATTGTCACCCAGCTTCCTGAGGGAGTCCTGGTCTTAAGACATCCCATCTGTTCTTCCAGCAGTACTTCACCCCTTCCCAAGTATGAAAGGAGCAAGTAGGGATGGGGAATGGGGGATGTATTCAACACAGAAAAAGAAGGAGTCTGCTGCTGATGGAACTGATTGCTATCTGATTAAAAGGGGATATGAGTAAGGAAGATGTGGCTCACCTTGTATTAATTGCAAGTGTAGTAGCTCCTGAAGTGGAGCTGTGCTTCAAGGCAGAGATATGATTGTTGTTCTGAGACCATCTTAATTTGAAAAACAACTGGACCACTGTCTTTAAGAACCTGCAGGCTCTCATTTTCCAAGTGTCTCTTTCAGCATCTTTATAGTTTTGTTGTCCCCACAGTTTTGTGGTCATTACTGTAACTGGGTACTAATTAATATTCTAAGTATGTGCTGTGTGAAACAACTACCTTTTATTTGTCATAGACTTGTTGTCTGATGAATTAATTTTGTGCTTTCCAGCTCTTGTTTTGTGACATTGGGAATCATCCTACAGTGACTTCTTCCATACCACTCACAACGCTGTAGACTTTCATAACCCTGCTCATCTCTCTTTCCATGCCTGTCAACTCTTTGGTCTCCTGATGTATGGAAGATATATCCTAGCCCAGTCTTGCCAGCCTTGTAATGAAACTTAATCACATTGCCTCCTTTTCTTGCTCTGCAAATAAGAATATTTTTATGCATATTCATGCACTAAATTTGGAGATAAAACACATAATTTTCCTTGGTGAAATGCACTTGTTGTAGCACGGGTTGATATGAAAAGTGCCTGTTGCTTTCATATAAGGCAGGCTGGGAAAACATTTGACTCCATGCAAACCTTCAAAGCCCACAAAACTGCCTTAAATATCTTCACCGATTATTTAATTTCATAAGTACATGCAAGTATGTTTGCAAAATAAAACCTTCTTTCAAACCATTTGTTTAGATTTTTCCTTCCCTCCTAAATGCTACTTTTGTACTTCCTGACAATTACAATTGACAGTGGAAAATCAACTGGAAAAAGTAAAAGTATCCAGAACGGATGAATTCCTATTTTGAAAACTAATTATGAAATCAAATCTAGTTTTTCAAACCTTTGGGACGGGAGAAATGTATTTATTAATGGCACCTGTCTTCCAAGAAATAGTTGCGTACTTCACTACAATGCATGAATTTTTATCTATTTAATATAAGAAACTGAAAGAAGCACTTAAAAATAACTGGGAATTAGGAAGCATGGGGCTGACACAGACAGCTGTGTGTCTGGCTTCAGGACCACAAGACTGTCACTCCAGCTAGACTAACCAGATTTGCTGAAGTATTGTTCAACACCATGCTACTGAAGTAACGCTGGTTCTGGGAGACAGACTAGAACTTTGGTGGTGGCCTGCAGTTCCTCCATACAAGTTCACCAGATAACGTGCAGCTAAATTTTCCTTATGCAATGCTGAATTGTGTGTGCAAATATCTGCATGCATATGTGTCTGCATTCCAAGTGTCTTCTGCAATTTAGGGCAATGTCCTTAATGTTGAATGTAGTAACTGGGTCACCACTGAGTCAGAGATTTGATTAATAACTGTTCATAGAAATGGAAAAGGTGCCAACAAAAGATACCATAACTCTCACTGCCAAATGCTTTGAACTACTGCTTAGGGTGTCTTGCTTTCAAATTCTCTGCTGCATTCAGATTCTCCTTTAAAACAATTTGATCTAGACATTTTGCATTTTGGATGTGTGTACTGCCTCCTGTATATTTGAGTAAAAAAATGACTCCTACAGAAACCCTCCAGTGGTTTTGTCTGTTGTGTTTAATTTCAAACCCTTATGAAGAAAGGGAAAAAATTACATTAAATTTGAATAAAGCAAATCATGTTGGA